GTGGACGATTTCACACGCAACAAGAGAAGAACAATCACCTGCAGACACTGAGCTACGCCATAATCTTTGGGGAGTGGGGACAAATGGCACATATACTGTTAGAATAACTTGCTACTCATGGCAAGATTAGAAAGTCACAGATTCTTTTCTATAATGTGACTGGCTCTGATTCTTCATTCAGTATAGGATTATTTATATAATGTTTGATAATTAGTGAGACATAAATAATCAGAGTGTTTTCATGGAAAAGCCTTATATCTGAAGATTGGAAAAAATAAATTTACTGAAATACAAATTTTTTTCTAATTGATTTGCTTTGGAAATAAATACCATCCCCTACCTGCCCACCCCATCCTCCTTGCTGAAAAAGAAAAGAATCTTTTAAAATCCTACCACTTGTTCATTGTGATGTCTCCCTCCTTTGGGTCTCAGGAGTATTTGTGTGTGCGTGTGTGTAGGTATGTGTGTATAGATATATGTGTGTGTTGTGTATCTCCTTTTCTGCCCTGTGTTAACTTCACATTTCAAGCGTACACATCCTGAAAACAGAGTCTATGTCTTGAACTTTTTATCTTTCAGTGTCTAGCCCAGTAGGCCCTCACTAAGTAATTGTCACTACTTGTAAGTTTTTTCCCATGGAAAATAATTTAAAAGCTGTCATATATTTATTTTGGCACACTTTAATGTACTTTTCTTTCTGTCTTTTTTTTTTCCTTTCCTTTCCTTTTTTTTTTTTTTTTGAGATGGAGCTTCTCTCTTGTTGCCCAGGCTGGAGTGCAATGGTACAATCTCAGCTCCCTGCAACCTCCACTTCCTGGGTCCAAGCAATTCTTCTGCCTCAGTGTCCTGAGTAGCTGGGCTTACAAGCATGCACCACCACACCCGGCTAAATTTTGTATTTTTAGTAGAGATGGGGTTTCGCCATGTTGGCCAGGCTGATCTCAAACTCCTGACCTCAGGTGATCCACCAGCCTCGGCCTCCGAAAGTGCTGGGATTACAGGCATGAGCCACTGCACCTGGCCAACTTTAATGTATTTTTCAATCTGTGCTACTTTCCTCCACCCTTCACCATCCCATATAACCCTCAGAAGTATGAAATTTAGGAACTCCTTGAGGACAACCAAGCTGCTGGAAGGAAGAGAGAGAGGGTTTGCTGAGCTGTGAATGGTAAATGATATTTGTACATCTGTTCTCTGTGGGCTTCCAGAGCTTCTGCAAGAGAAGGGGAAATAGAAAACCGTGAGTAGAGATGATGTTGGAGGGCATCGTGGACGATTTCACACGCAACAAGAGAAGAACAATCACCTGCAGACACTGAGCTACGCCATAATCTTTGGGGAGTGGGGACAAATGGCACATATAAATTGGAAGAGATTAATACATTTAATTAACAAAGAACTTTATTAGAAATGTGGCAGATTTAGTTTCTGTCTATGAACATGATTATTTGTTGAGTCTTACTGTTGAATGTGCCTGGCTAAGTTTTTGTTTCCTACCACTAGAAAAAGGTAGTGACACTATTATTGCTCACGGTGCCGGGGTTTTTCCCAACCCATTTGTGTTGAAACCATATAGAACTGCTTATCTGTGCAGTTCCCAAGAACAACTTCATCCCGACTCTGGTTACTCATGATGCTGCATCCTCCATCCTTTTGCCCTGAATACTGGCTTCCAAAGGTTCTTACTGTGCTTCATAGACCACCACAAATGCAAGATGTGTTTCTGCTCATGTTCAGCTTATCGTTTTTCCCATCATGTATTTTTTTTTTTTGAAAACTTTATTTGCTAGGTAACTTTATTCCAAGAATGGAATCTCTTTCAAAGCTGACCACACCCTTGCCTCTGCCCACCACCATCAGCAGGAAAGACAGGCCAGCTTGAAGGCAAGTGAGGAGAGCAGTGCCGTTCAGAAGCCTGGCATCCCTCCATTAGTGGACGCTGTAGAGGTCGTTGATTAGAGGTGCCTGTTGGAGTTGCTGGACAGCAGTCTGGAAAGCCCTGAGAGATGGATGGCCACTCCTGGAAGACGGCCCGACGTGGGGAGCCTGGGGAGGAGGGGAGGTCACAGCCCTCTGTCAGCAGGAGAGGGCAGAGGCTGAAAGAAAGTGTGACTGAGGGAGCAGGTGTGGATTAGAAAGGAATAAGAAAACAGAAACAGGAAGGACTGGGTGGGTATGGAAGAGACGGCTAATGTGTTCCCTTCCCCAGCCAAAGCTGATTTGAGTTTCCAAGGGTTTTTGGAGAGCGATTGCCAAAGCTCTTACCTCCAGCATTTCCAATTCTCTTCCTGTGTGGAATATCCCAAATGGAGTAGATACGCTGGGCTTCAAAGGCAGGCCCTGCACTCATTTCTGTTGAGCCAGATGTTTCTGAGGGCCCACAGCTTTATGTATCTTGAGGGCTGGCTCAAGATATTTTATGAGGAGATGTTGAGTGTCTCCATTTCCACATAGCAGAGTAGGGAAATCCTCAAAACCTTGTCAGTGGGCCGAATCCCTCGTTGCACAAATGGTCCTATGGGAGTCCTCGCACCTGGAACCTGGCGCACAGAAGGGCTGCATATGCTTCCCCCATGTTCCCTCCCTCCATTGCAATAATCAAGCAGCCTGCCTACATGCTAGGTCTTTCCATTTTTATCGAATTGCAAGAAAATATTTAAAAGAATTTTCTCCTATGGAAATAATTAAGCAAAAAAGGTCTTTCACTCCTCAGACACAACTTTGTTGTTTGCTTGGGATTTTATTTCGTTTAAACAAATTTATTTCAAAAACAAATAAAATTTTTGTTCCACATAGCATTTTCTTTTCTTTTTTCTTTTCTTTTTCTTTCTTTCTTTTTTTTTTTTTTTGGAAACAGAGTCTTGTTCTGTCACCCCAGGCTGGATGGAGTGCAGTGGTGCAATCTCAGCTCACTGCAACCTCCATCTCCGGGATTCAGGTGACTCTCTTGCGTCAGCCTCCCAAGCAGCTGGGATTACAGGCACGCACCACCACAGCTGGCTAATTTTTGTATTTTTAGTAGAGATGGGGTTTCACCATGTTGGTCAGACTGGTCTTGAATTCCTGACTTCAAGTGATCCCCCTGCCTCAGCCACCTAAAGTGCTGGGATTACAGGCGTGAGCCACTGCGCCTAGCCAGCATTTTAATTTTAGTTGTTAAAAATTAACTGGGGTTCTCCAGAGAGGGCCCCACCGCATACCTTGGGGGAAGGAATGCTGACCTCATGAAGCTTCCATTAAAGCCCAAGAGGATGGAGTTTGGAGAGCTTCTGGATAGCTGAACACAGGGAGGTTCCTGTAGGGAGGCGCGCCCAGGGAGGGCTTGGAAGCTCCGTGCCCCTTCCCTGGTACCTCGCCCTATGTGTCTCTTCATCTGTGTCCTTTGTAATGTCCTTTATAATAAACCCGTGAACATTAAAAATGAAAAACTGGAGGTGTTTTGCAGTAATGTATAGGAAACACTAGATGTCAGGAGAGAACAAGCTAAGCTAACCTAATGTTTAACTGGTTGTGTTTGCACTCAATTATTTAGAATAGTAGATTTTAGGAAATTGTTAGAAACCTAAGAAACATTTACAAGTAAATTATATTTGTTAAATATTATATTTAATTTATTTAAATATATATTTATTTAAATATAAACGTAAACATAGACTTACACCTAATACTGGATGTTTTCCACTCTGATCTATGAGGAGGTCCTGATGACTCAATAAAAACACTTTTAAGCATGTATTAAGGGCCAGGTGCTATCATGTACATAAATCTATAGATTGTACATACAATTCCAATTTTCTCTCCCCTGATGCTTAACTGTCCAAAATCTAAGCTAGCAGAGTGTTTCCTTTGGGGGGGCGGGGGTGGATGAAGAAAGAATCAACACCTCATGTAATGAGAGATGCTTCTGGGAAGGCCTGCAGGGAAGGAACCAAATCAATCAAGCATTCCTTGGTCATTTCTAAGGGTGTGGGCAGGAGAAGTGCTTCAAATGAGCATGAACTTGGGTTTTGTTTGTTTGTTTGTTTATTTTTTCCTGTAGCGTAAGGTTTCTCAACTTAATGTACTCTAAATCTTGTCATGGTTTCTCTTCCAAATTTAAAGGAAAGTTTCTAATCATTAGCTTTCCTGTTGAACTTGTTCCTTTTTGCATAAATTTGGCATGCTTTTCAGCTTCCAGTTCTCTGACATTTATTACAATTTCTCATAATCTTAATTTAGAGTCAGTTTGTTTCATAGCATAGATTCCCTTTAGAAAAATTTTACAGTAACACTGTAACATCTTTTGCTATAGTTCAGCATTCAAGTTAATCTTAGAAGTTTTTCAGGGAGAAACTCAAGGGTTTGAGGGAATTAGAGAATCTCAGAATGGAAGAGAATTTAGTTGCTCACACTGGGTAGTGGGAAGACTGTATTTCGATTAACGAAGCCTACATAGTATTTGTTTTAGGCCAGCCACATCACTCCTGGATTATTACAATGAACTGTTCACAAACTAAAAATTGCAATTCTTTCTTAACCAGTTCGTATGTCATACCTTCCATCCAGCTTCCCAGTGGAGAAGAGTGGGCAAGCGCACCAGAAGTCAGATGCCAAGGGTCAGGTTTTATTTGTGCCATTCGCTAACTGTGTAACCTTAGCCATGAAAGTTTCTGTTTATACTCTGCATACTTTGAGTCCTTTACATTTTTTCTGCGTTTTTAAACCGAGGAAAGATGCTTTTTCTTTTATAGTCTCTGATAATCTAAAAAATTATTTCCTACACTTTTAATAAAATTAATAATTTGCACAATAAAAGTATTCACCTTGAGCAGCTAGAATAGCAGTTTTACTTTGCCACTAGTTAAAACTATCCTTTCTCTTTCAGTTTTGTAAAATGAAGTGAGGATGGGAATTTGCATTTTTTCTCTTCTCTAGTCAAAAGAATCTAAATTACTTGGTTCCTCTTTGCTA